ATTAAATGATTGATTTGGTTGTTTAAAAATATTATTTGTATTATTTGGTCTTTGCGTAAATTGATTATTGGTTATTGGTTTATGCATAATTGTTTGATTTTTAAATTTTAAAAGTTTTCTTCTTCTCTTACAAATGCCATCGCTTGCTCGAGTGGAATTTGGTTTTTTAATCTACTACAAGTTGTGTGTGATAATCTAAGTTATTAATAAATGTCTTTAAACATAGTTCATCGTATGTTGTATTTTTGTATTATTTAACTGGATCTAAATCATCAAGAATTATTAATTTTGATAACAAACCAAACCTTCTAGCGTCTTGAACTTAATGCAAAAATTTTGGATAGGTTCATTTCTAATTGGTTTCATAGAAATTATATCTTGAACTAAAATACAATCTTCGGATTCTTTATCAGAGAATGTTTTAACATTAAAATACTTTTACTTTTTGCCATGAATCTAATTCTACTCTAGAGGCAATTATATCTGCTGCTCTACCTTTTAATTTCCCTTTATAAGTTTGTCAATAAACAATATTGTATTGGTGCATCAGGCGTGTTTGGGTTTTGATGATTTAAAAGAAAGTGTTCGCAAGATCTCAAAAATCTACACAATTGTTTAGAATTACCATCAAAATTTGGGATTTATCTGCTTGATATGTAATACTGATAATTAGGTGTAGCCATTTTATTTTCGATTGGTTTTTTTTTTTATTAATGTGGGATTCAGAACTTATTGATAGGTTGTTGACTAGATTGATTAAATTCTTGAAATTTTCGCACATCAAAATCTGGGATGATTGAAATTTTTTTAATTTTATTGTATTATATTATAGTTAAAAAATAAGGTAATGGTTAAAATAACTTAGGAGCTAAAAGGATAGTTTGAAAGGTACTTACATTAAGTGACTTTTCATAGGGTTTTCTGGGTTGTTTGGTTGCTTTGTTTCTCGTTGTTTTCGTTTTCTTCTTAACTATGAGCTTCTGGCGATTTTTGTCCTTCCGCTCTTTCTAGTAGGTACTTGACGATTTTTGTTCTTTCCCCTAGACAGGTTATCTATGGAATTTGGGCGATTTTTGTCCCTCCGTCCGCTCCTTTAGGTACTTGGGCGATGTTTGTCTCGTTCCCCAGGACTTGGAACCTTCTTCTTCCGATGTTGCACTGGTTTCACTTGATTAAGCTCCGCAGACAGTTTGTCGATTAATCGTTGACACGAACGAGAAATTTTCCGCGAAAATCCGGACGATTTCTGGGCGAATTTTCGTTTCGGTTCACTCCGACGGTCTATCTTTTACAATTCCTCCGACTGCCCAGTTAATTTTTGAGGTTTTTGGTGGAGATGTTTTAAAAACATTATTAAACAGGAAAGCGGGAGTACAATACGCGTTGATGGATTCTGAAGGAACCCTGTGCCTGCGTCGTGCAGCGGCTTAAATATGAACATAAGTGCTGATGAATATAAAGTATAAGATTTCTACAGGGTGTGTTAATTATACAATTATAACTCAGTGTTGTGTTTTTCGGCAGAGTCGTCAGGGAACGACCGTTATGACAGAGACAACCTATCTATCGCTCGTGTCGCACTCGTTATAACCTAAAACAATAACACAACAATAACAAGACAGTGTCTGACCGCATGTTCCATGGCTGGAGTTTTATGAAATAAGATGCTCAGTCTATTATTTTTATTTTTAAGTCTATGGGTCGAGCCCGTGCGTCGGTGAAGACAAGGCCAAACAATGTCAAGAGTTCTTTACTACATATACATTCCATTGCCAGGCCGAGCACGATCTGAGCTTCGCCGGAACTCGGCCGTGCCCCGTCCCAGAAATGTCGGCCGTAATTTTTTTTCGTCGGATCCGCCTCCCGTCCCGCCACGTTGCGGAAAGCATGTATGTACTTTTCCTGGTGCCCTGACTGCAATCTGCAGTCATGATATAAACAAAGTACACTTTTTATCATGTCTGTAGTAGGTAGTGAATCTTACAGCAGTATTTAATGACAGGGAATGCATAAATTGGGACTAGTTTTTAGTGGCCGGTTTTTTTTGCCGGTGAGTGTATATCCCTGTAGAATACTGTAAATCATAATTGTATAAATGTAATTTTCTCGATATTTTCGTATGCCAATAAAAATATCTACTTTTGTGACGTCCTAACTTCTAGACTGAGGCCTATATCATCCCGCTGGTTACGATCAAGCTGGAAAAAATAAACGAGCGAGATTGTGCAACACGGCGAAGCATAAAAATCATCGTGGAACGAGTAAAAAACTCCATCAAAGCACTTGTGCCGAAACAGCTGGTGTCGCCGTTGCGGTTCCCTCGTCAACATAATCGTCTTCGTCGTCCTGCAAGCAAGAAAAACAAATTGCAGCCGACCGATCCCTGGCCTGCTCGCTTTTGGAAGCGTCTTCGTTTCCGCATGCCGGGCTGCGACCTTAAAATAGATCAACTCGGAGATTTTGGCAGGTCACGATATTCGAAATACTTGCAGCGAGTAAAGCCCCGTCTACACATAACGTTTTACCCGTTGATTGAAAGAATTGAGAAGATACGTATCCTATCACAAGGCTGATTTGATTTCCCCTTACGTCTCAAGTGCTGTACGGTGGTGACACCAATCGTTCTGCGTCCAACGCATAAAACACTCATTTTCTCTAATTCGGCCAGCGAAGGCATATCGAAGAAGGTGTGAAACTGAAATCGCCAATGTTGCCATATTAACATGTGTAATATTTGTAATTCGTTTGACGAAAATATCTTTGGATGAAAAATCCGCGTTTATGTATTGAAAATTTATTCGTGTTAAACATAGATTAAACAACAAATGCAAAAATTCTGTTATATGTACTGAATATGTCGTATCATCGAAAAAAGTCATTTAGTTGGCTTGGAAATGACGATTATTGACATTTACCATAATATTTTACATATGAAGTATCTTCAATCTTGCCAACTCTGACTCCGTTCTTTTTTTAATTATATAATATTATATTAAATTGTGTAATGATAGAAAATCCGTATTATTAACGTACTGTAATACCCAAAATCCGTAAATCTACGGATTAATCAGTAGTTCTGGCAACACTGTATCCGGCAACCGCTCACTCTGTCGACTGAAAGCGGAACTACGGTACAGTATTCTTTATCCGCTGCGTTGTAAACGACTACCAGCGCGCAGATCTAAACTAAATCTCGAAATTCTCGGACAGACTGACTGGAAATTTAACCTGCAGTTATAAATCAATTTTTAGTAAAGACAATTAAGGAAACACTGTTTTTTAAATATAGCGTTTGTGTTTAGTGAAGATGAATAGAAAAAACAAGGAATTTTATTACAAAATTATGTTTATTTATGCTTTAAGAGCTTTATTGCTTTTTTTTATTGTTCAAAACGAAAGATTTTCCTTCGTCTACTAATAATTACATTCACAAAAGAAATATTAGAATATATATGAAAATAATGTGACTTGTACCTTTTGTTTATTCTTCCACAGACATCTCACATAAGTAACATTAGAAAGAAGGGTATGAATCATAACGTAGGTATCTATTCTTTTCCGCATATTACGATAATTGCAAAGAAACGATAAAGAACCTTTGGGATAATGTTATGTGAGAAATGTTTTCCCATAGCTTCTCATGACGATCGTGTGTTCCATTTATTCCTCTCAAATTCCTGAAGGCAAACGTGTTTTCCCAGAATCAGGTGACTAAACGATACCGGTGGAAGAATTGAAGCATGCACACGGCATAAAACGCATTAAAAATATCAAACGTAGATTTTCCGGTGTATATTTTGTTATATAGAACATGATCAAAACGTGTTATGATCAAACGTGCGGAAAAATAGGGGAAATTACATGAGAATTTTCTTATCTGTCAAAGTCAAAGCTCGCTCGATCGTAAAACTTTTTGATCGTACGTTAGATACACTCACCGGTACGAAAAACTATTTGACTTTTTAGTACCTCTTCGTAAATTAAAAATGAAAAAATGTTGATATTTTGAAGAAAGTTTGAAACACCCTGTGGAGTATAGTATTTCATTGCGGAAATAACTGCTCTAGGCCAGTGTCTATTGTCAAAAGTGGTGGGAGAAGGTTGAACATTGTGAATTTAATCAACAGAGTGTCGAAAAAAATAATATTTTTGCTCTACTCGCTGCTGTGCTAAAAAGTTCTCCAAATAATGCTGATTTTCTGAAGAAAAAAGAGATGATTTTGATGATGTAAATTAAGGTAGCTGATTGGTGTTCCAAATCCGAAACATTTTTGAAACAAAGATGCTATCAATGTTTTTAAGGAAAAATACAAGCATATCTGGTCATTAGCTTTTGACCTTTACAATAATATATACAAATTAACATCAACAGTATTTGATATAGTTGTTAAAACGCCTTTTTGTAAATTCGATGGTGCTTTTATTCGAATTCGGCCATGTAAATTAATAACTCTCCCACGTAATATTGACATTGACACTGATGTAATACCTAAAATCAACAAGGAAACTAACATCCGTCAGTTTTATCGTTACATCTTTACATCCTTCGATCTATAGAACACAAATATTTAGCGCAATTTTCATTTACACTCATTAAAATTTTGTACGTAACAGTAAACTTTGAATGCTATTTATCATCTTAATAACTTATTTTGTGTATATTTTATAGATTATTTATATATTTTGTAACACTAGATAGATCTTATACCATCTAGGTTAGCTAAGTAGGTGGCAAGAAATGTAAAAAAATAATTATAAATGTCATAGCACATTGTGTTCAACCATAATATAATAATAATTATTATTAAATTTATAATTGATTAAACAATATAATAATGCCTGCATGTACTTGACACGAATTTTCTAGGATTGCATAGATCCACGGTTAAGATTTGCGCAACTGCGTTTGCAAATACAATATTAAGTGTCTTTCCACTGTAATACGTTTTATATTAATTCGATTTTACAAAAGGAAAATAACTAGAGTTTATCTTTTGCAGAAAAAAAGTGAAGAGAACGGTGTAAATAATGAAGAGGTCGAAGTAGATATAGATGAACTTCTCGACATGGACAGTGACGACCAGAGGCGGAAACATTTACAGGTATTTTTTACTTTTATTGTTTAATGTCTTATATACAGGGTGTTCCTTAATGACAGGGGTGATTCTTGGACCTATTCTAAGAAAAAAAGTTTATGAATGTAATGTATATTCTAAATATCCTAACTTTTATGGTAGAGTGGTAAAATTTTCTGAAAAAAAACTTTTTTTTTATAATAACTCTGAGGTTATTACTTACAAATCCTTAATGAAATTTGATATACGTTTTCTATGCCCCAAAATGTGTTTTTGATGTACAATTTTTCTCTGTGTGTCTTAATTTCCTGCCAGTTGATGCAGGAACAATTTCTACACAACAGTCACCGCATCAGATTTTTAGCAATTTTACCCCGAAGATTTCTTTAATTTTTTGGCAACCACCATTTGTCGTACAAAACAAAATCAAGTGATGAAAATTGTTTAGAAATAAATAAAGATGATAAATATACAGGTTGTTAATTTGTTTATTACTCGCGGCAAGAGCTTTATGGTTGAAATATGGCAACCTCGGCCCGCTCGTCGATAGACGACGCGACGGGACGAGTCGGCTGAAAACCCTATCGAAAGAAAGCGACTGCATCGGAAACCGCTCGACAAACCCCACACGCCTATTGAGTGGTGTAAATACACCAGTCGTTTAGTCCGGAAACCTATGCTGTGTCGTATTCGCTTGCTGGAATGACATAGTGCGTGGTTATATGTTTCTTTTTAAAAACGGGCGTAGGATTTTTGTTGAACTTTTGAACTGTTATTTCTAAGTTTTGGTAATTTGTATATCTTATTTAAAATGGGATACAAATGTGTTTATTTATAAGGAAAAAAAAGATATTTATAGTATAAAAAATTAATTTATTTAACAGAATTTTGACAGAAACCTGAACGCGTAATTCGGTGTTCTTTCGCATCTGTTTTAGTTAATTTGTGCTATAAGTGCATGCGTTCTCAATAGGCAGTGTTGCCATTCTGTTCCCCTATAAGTAACAGTCGAGTTAACAACCACTATGTTGTATTATATATAAAGTCAATGGTGTATCATTTATTCTCCAAAAATATTCAGTGTTTTAAATAAAATTTCATAGAGATATCTATACCGGGTGCGTCTCAAAAGTGGCTCACCCCTATAACTTTTTTATTTTTTCAGTTACAAAAACGAGATTTGGTATGTTAGCATATTACACAAATTAGGATTGATTGGCGTATTCAGTTATTTTCGGTCACTTCCTGTTTCACCGGAAATGACTACAACTTTTGATTTTTAAATGGCACCCTCGGTATTTTTTTACTTCATTCGATAGAAAATAACACTCTGAATAGAATGACTTACCAACTTTTGACATTTTCGCATATGGTTTATTTCAAATTATAACATGCGGTTCATAACGAAAATTTGACTCGAAATACCAATAAGTGTGTGGTATCAAATTATTCGTAAAAAAATTCTTTTTCCAAATATGCTAATGAGCCACCCTCGTTCCATTTGAAAAAAATTGAGATATGATTAAAAATATGAATTGGGCATCTTATAACCGGCCAGGACAAGACACTAAAAACACTAGACGATCAAATCTATTTCTCCAAGGCCCCTTGATTAAAAATTAGTGTTTTTAATATAGATTGACACTCTTGATTAAAATTTAAAATACGATTTTTTATTAAGCGAGGATGTCAAAAGTTGACATATGATATGTCATTCTATTCAGAATGTGTTTTTCTATCGAATAAAGTAAAAAAATACCGAGGGTGCCATTTAAAAATTAAAAGTTGTAGTCGTTTCCGGTGAAACAGGAAGTGACCAAAAACAATTGAATACGTTAATCAATCCTAATTTATGTCATACACTAACATACCGAATCTCGTTTTTTGTCTGAATAAAAAAGTTATAGAGATGAGCCATTTGTGGGACGCACCCAAAATTATTATAATTTTTTTACCACCCTGTATCTCAAAAGATAGATGTTTTACGACTTACATTCATGTGAAGTTAGATCATTAGATCCAAGCCAAGAACCACCCCCCTAAATATTAGCATGGCATTAAAGAACATCCTGTATGTTTTATCTTTTGTCCCACTTTTAGCAAACTATAACCTTTTTTATTTTTGAAGATAACATTATGTGATTATGAAGATATTAAATAGAAAGGACATCACATGACCGAAACATTCTTTTTTTGGTGTATTGTTGTGTAATTTTCTGTTACAAATCCAGATATTCCAACTTAAATCAAACAAAATTTTCAAAACATCGAACTCATATTTAAACAAATATTTTCAGGAAGTAAAAAGAAAAATAAATACAGAGCAACCTGGCCTGACGTTTATGGGCCGATGAAAAGATTATATATTTATGCATGCGATCAGGCAGCTCACCTCAAAATATACAAATCCCTCGTAATTCTGGTTAAAACGACTGCCGATAAATTAACTACCGTTAAAACGCACGCGAATTGGCTAAAATTAGCAACGATTTCGCTCAATCGAGCCAGGCTGCGTTTTATTTCAAATGGGGAAAACATCGATGAATTAAACACAAATAATATATATCCTGAAATCTATTTTGGAGTTACAAAAAGTTGTACTGATATTACACCTTATAATTAAGGTAGTTAAATAGAATTACTATTAATTAATTGATATTTTTGATTAATTAATTGATTTTTTATGATAGAAATCACAGCTTATTTACTACCAGCTGGTCGCATTGTTGAAGTGAAACATCTTTACGCGTGTTGGAAGTAAAAATTCAAGGCCATGTCACACGTGACATTTTCATTGGAGGACACTGTCATCTTTGTTTCAAACTAATAATCAACGAGAACTGTAATTTCTGTAATATTAATCCGGTAAATGATGGAGATAAACAATTGTGATTGATTAAAATTTTATTTTAAGATGAAACTTTTGTTAACAACATTCTGAGAATTCGAATAATGAATTGAATAATGACAAGGCCAGGGACATCTGTCTAAAAAAGACAGCAATTTAGAGTGACAATTTGGTTATGTAAAATTTGACTTCGAAAAAGTGACAATTTTGATTCTGCAAAAGAAATGCAATATTCTATGCGTTTACTGGTTGCTTAACGATTAACATTAATTTAAAAATAAATTCCCAACATGAATAATGAACAAAACATTTAAACAAAAGCAACCACAGACCACACAAAACAAATTGTTGGTTAGTAGCAGCACAGATTAGGTATCCTACAAGTATACAGATAAAAATCTTGTCCCTAATTCGTGGTACGAAAATTGTTTTTTTATGACGATGCGCAAACGAGTCAAATTTCCTGTGCGCAAAAATAAACTCGTGTAAAATAACAATAAACAGCGTAATAGAGAGATATCGCTAAACTGAATAGCGTGCATGGACGTTAATAAGGCCAGGTGTTATTTCCTTTACGTGATGTGGTATTAACTCTCTTCATTTATAGTTATCGGATCGAAAAGAATTCTGATCGCGTCGCGTCCGCTATTTAAACTTAACCTAACTTTGAATTTAAAACTTTGAAATTGTTTTGTTTACTAGGTATTTTAAAACTAAAGGGCTAAAGTGCTTATTTCCAGTGCTTTATTGTTCAACGTCTGCAAGTGGGTTTAGGGCAACAAGCAACAAATTCTCTTAGAAGGGCTAAGTCGTCATCTGCTGTAAACCTAAGACTCTTTATAGGTTCTTTAGTATTGGAAGAGGTGGAATCCCTATTTTGGTCCATATTTATTTAATTAAAACTAATCCCAGCTACTTAAATATCAAATTACCTAATAAAACTAAAGCAATAATTCAGAACAATTCAAACATAACCTAAAATAAAAGATCTCGCCGGCCGACTCCGGTTGTCAAATACCCGCACATGCCCATTTAAGCAATTTTTAAACGTTATCAGTGGTTATTTAGAAAGAGCGCTTGGTGTAATTGATCCGCAAATTACGTCAGGCGGTAACGTTATTAGTGGGTGTTGCGTTAAAAATTGACTCGCGCATATCGTAACCATGATAAGGTACGCGTAAATACTGGATGACGCTATTCGGTTTTCCGATATCTCTCTAATAACTGTGCCGGTCAGGCTATGTGCACAATTTTAGAGGTCATAAGTGGGCGTGCTATGTGCGCAAACTAGTCACCTTACTAGTGCCCGATTCCGAAAATTGGAACCACGAAAAACAATAAAGAAAAAACAAAGATTATAATCTGTATAATCTGTGGTAGCAGTTAGTAGTAGTCAGAGATACAGATGTAGTAGTATTTTGGTTTAATGGTCACAGCTGTCTTTTTTTAAATCACAACAAAAAAAAGTATAGATATTCGTTGAAAATTGATTAATAATGGATTAAAACTTGTGGTTTCTTCCAAAAAGGTTTGAAAAATGTAGGTTAAACAAGTCTTACCTATATTTTACTTCCATTATCTATTTTAACAGTTTACATCTAAAGGTGAGTTTATATGCAACCGTAATGCTCCAATTATATTTAAGTATTTAATCTGTCATTTTTCAAATAAACCAATAAAATTGCATAAAATTAACGACCGACGACGCATTACGGATGCATGTAAACCAAGGCTTAGACTTTTTATTTTTTATATTGTTGTATATACACCAATTGACATCAGTCAGTTTTATCGTAGACCTGTAAAGCATATATTTTTCGATGTTTTGTATTTTGTTTGTCATTTTATTTCTTTTAGAAGAAAACGTTGGCATCTTATTATTTGCATATGAAAAAAAGGCAAATAAAAAAAATATTAAAAAAGTCGAGATCATATTTCAAAAGCAGGCGTCGTTATTATATAAAGGGAGCGTCTCTTGGTACGACGTGAATGACCTCATATGGGAGTTTTATTTTTATTTACTGGAAATATATTAAAAGGAAGTATTCTTAATAATTTCTGAAAAATGGCATATCTCCTTACAAAATCAACAAAATCAACCTTGTCCATTTAAAGCTGCACATAATATGCAAAACCTTGAGAAGTATAGTCGGTCCAACGAGAAGATCCTTGACAGTGATAGATGTGTCTGTCATTTTAATTTCAAAGTAGTTTATTTTATTTTACAAAGAAATAAGTTGGTACAACTGGAACGCATAGCAGGAAATTTCTATATGTATTTAAAATTTGACTGACAAGTAACTTCAAAATATTGTGAAAAAAAACTGTATAAAACTGAAAAAATGTAATCGAGTTATTTTATTTAATAAAAAACGGTATGTGTTAATACAAAACAAACAAAAACAAGACACCACATACCAAAAAATATAAAAAAGAACTATTTCTTACTTTCAAGCTTTATGAAACTTCCTGCATTTATGATTATATTTATCAGCAGGAATAAATAAAACAACATAAATAAAATAAACTACTTTATTAAGAATAACACTTACCAAATTTTATACCTCACAGGTTGATTAATTAACTTTAATCTTAATTTTTTTTCAAACCAGTACCTTTTGACATTATTTTTCTGCAGTACTAAAATCCGTTATTTACCTATCGTGTGATGTCGATATTTTACATCTACTCCAGTTTTTAGTATGTGTTTAGTATGGTCCTTCTACCATATTCGAGATGCACTTATCTACGACGAGATGGTATACGAACTTTATTGGTAGTAACTTTATTGGTGTATCTGTATAAGACTTTCTGCCTGGGCAGCGAGTATTAACCATAAACTGTGCTCTGGGTTCTACAGTTAATTTTCACTCGATTTTTCCTCCACTTGACTTCAAAAGACACAAAACACACGAAATAACACGAATCAAAATGCATCATCTTCCAAAACGCAGGGTATTTGACAAAAGTTATCACAAAATTATAACCTATAATTTGGCAAGACTTTGACAAACGTCAAAAATCTAAAGGCGAGTTCATACGCATCGGCGTCCGTTTGTCGTTCATCGTTCCGTCAAACCAATAAAATTGAAATACGATCTGTCATTTTTGAAATAAACCAATGAAACTGGTTAAAAACAACAAGTGACGACGCATGACGAATTTATATTTAAACCCATCCATAGTTAGCTTAAAAATTATTAGAAACTTTTTTTAGTAAAATAAATAGATTGGTATGGGACGTCATCTGATTTTCTTCTGTCGTCGTCTGTTTCTTCTTCCCTTCATCAAAAATTGAATCGATTGAATATCTTCTTTAATCATCACAAATTGAGACATATTTCACCTAATAATAAAGGCATTCTTACACATTCACGTTAAAATATATTTCTGATTCAAGACCTTTCATTATTTTATAAACATTTACCAATAGGGTGCGTCTCAAAAGTGGTTTACCCCCATAACTTTTTATTTTTTCAGATAAAAAAACGAGATTTGGTACGTTAGTATATGACATAAATTAGGAATAATTGACGTAGTTAATCGTTTATATGGCCACTTCCTGTTTCACCGGAATGACTACAGCTTTAGATTTTTAAATGGCACCCTCGGTATATTTCTACTTTATTCGATAGAAAACGACACTGAATAGAATTAACAAAACGTTCTCCAACCCAGTGTGCGTACATATCAAAGTAAAACCTCTGACGAGGGGTAGGGGACAAAAAACTCACAATCTTTTAAGATGTTTATTTAAATTTAATTTGCTTCAAAAAAAGAAGGGGCGACATGTTTCGGGACTTAACAATTCCCATCTTCAGGCCCAAGAAAACTAAAATAACTGCAATCAGAATAATAAACAAATTCCAATAGTCATACAGAGGCCAAAAATTAAAAATACAATCACAAAACAAATTAAAAGGTTAATTTTTTTTTCAAAGAAGGTTAAAAACAATTACACAATTATTCAATGACAGATAACATAATGGCAAGCTCAGTTTGAAAATTAAAACAATTAAATTAAAATCATAAAGGGCAATAATTTAAGTTCAACAAAAAAAAGATAAAAAAAGAAAAAAAACTTCAAGAACTTTCTCACCTGGAAACGACTTTCTTCTTGTAAAAACGAATCAACTTCTTCGGAACAATCTTCTAACTTAATTTTTTCACAAATTTTTGCCACTCTTTCACTTTTGGCATTATTGTACCATTGTTCAAAAATATCTTTTATTTTAAGTACTGGACATTCTCCTAAAAAAAAATCGAAAATTTAAAATATCCGTAAAAAAAATTCTAAAACTTAGTTTTAGTCATTGCCGGTGAAACAGAAAGTTCACCAACCGAACCAAAAACAGCTGAATACGTCAATCAATCCTAATTTATTTTATATACTGACATACCAAATATCGTTTTTTTTTATCTGAAAAAATAAAAAAGTTATAGTGGTGAGCCACTTTCGAGACGCACCCGGTATATTCATTCATTAATCCAAGACATTGTTTCGTTGTTTGTTATAATTTTTAATGGTATTCTTATTGAATCTTTTGTTCCAGAACCTGCTGGCAGACGCCAAAAGTCCCCAAAGAGAGAAGTTCATCAACGACCTGCTGGAGAAAGCAAAAACGCTCTAAAACTGGAAGTGAAGTGCCAAAATGAAAATAAAATAACAAGGTCCCGCTGGATAGTAAAACTGTTATTAGTGGGACATGCTATAAGCGCATCGTTCGACGCTTAAACTGGAATATTCCGCATTCCCGTTCAACATGTTGTAAAAACACCTACGAACTCACTGCACAAGTTATTGTTACATCGATAAGACTGGCAAAATAGTTTTGGTCTTGCCTTGCTTGCCTAGGGAAGACATTTTACTGTCTATAGTTAAAGATAGTAGATGTGAAACAAGACAGAACATCAAAAGTCAACTTCTTTATGAATACATACATACGAAAATGTTTCTTTTTAGCATTAATTTCAAATGCTTTATCGTTTTTTTACTTGAAAATACTGCTAAACATAAAGCCGCGTCCAAGCTACTCGAACAAAACGTGTATATACTCGTAGCAGCAGGTCATAAACGACGGCACAGCCCATCGCATCGGTCCCGAGGACTGAGGTGCGGGGAAGAATGCGACAACAGGAAGTTTGCTCTATAGATCTAGGATGCGTTTAGGTAGTCGCTGTTTTTTCGAGTGCCCGGATTTCGAGTGCAAGCATTTTATTAAATAAATTAACCGGTAAACAGTTTAAGAACTTTTGTCGTTGAAGAATCAATATTTAGCAGGCGGAGGGTTACAGGTTTTTTTTCGTAGATTATTCGTTATAGTGTATTTTTAAGACCTGTAGTCATTTTCAGCCGATTCTACCAGGTGTTTCTCAAAAGGGGCTCACTTTTTTACTTTTTTATTTTTTCAGATAATACAACAAAATTTGGTTTGTTAGTATATGACATAAATCGGGATTGATTGACGTATTCAATTACCTTCGGTCGCTTCCTGTTTCACCGGAAATGACTACAACTTTGTATTTTTAGATTGTATCCTAAGTACTTTTTACTTTATTTGTGATAGAAAATGACATTCTGAATAGAATGACATACCATACGTCAATTTTAGACAATTCCAATTAAATAAAAATTGCATTTTAAATTTCAGTCTAGAGTGCCAAGACTGAGTTAAAACTATTAATTTGTAATCAAAGAACTTTGGAAACATATATTTGATCGTGTAATTTTTTTTCGTATCCTTTCATGACCGTTTAAAAGATGCCTAAATCGTATTTTTAATGATAACTCAAATTTTTCAAATGGTACGAGGCTGGCTTAGCATATTTGGAAAAAGCATTTTTTATGAATAATTTCGTACCACATACTTGGTATTTGGAGTAAAATTGTCGTTACGTTTATTTATGGCCATTTTTAAATTGAAAATGTCAAAAGTTGACATATAATATATCATTGTATTTGGAATGTCATTTTCTATCATATACGGTAAAAAATATCGAGGGTACCATTTAAATCAAAAGTTGTTGTCATTTCCGGTGAAATAGGTAGTGACCGAAAATAAATGAAAACGTCGATCAATCCTGATTTATGGCCCTATACTAACATACCAAATCTCGTTTTTTATCTAAAAAATTAAAAAAGTTATAGAAGTGAACCACTTTTCAGAAACACCCGGTGGTAAATGGTAAAATTTAATTTCCGGTGTCAAACTTCCTATTAAGTAGTAATTTTTAATTTCAGAATCCTATAATAATTCCGGTTTTTAATAAAAATAATCATAAAGGTCTTTATTAACAAAAAGTATCTCTAGCATAGGCTCTAGCATACGCTCTGGCGTACAACCAAGCCGTTCGGCGCTCCGCGCTCCTTAATAGGCCTAAGCTGGCTGTACTTGTTAGCTTTATTATTTATAAATCTACCTATCTCACAATTTTCACTTAGTATCTGTTTAATTATATATGTTCGCGAACATTTTGTTCGAGTAGCTTGGACGCGGCTTAATAATGTTTAGTATTCTAACAAGAATGTTGACTTTATTTGTAATACAAAAAGCACAACTGAAAAACGTTGTTTTTATAAATAAACTTTGAACAGTGCTTTGTATTTGTATTAATATCCTTGTAATATACCATATAGTCAAAAAGTTTTATGATCAAGAGGGCTTTAACTTTTTAAGCTTGATCATTAAGATAATTTGATCATACTGTATATTCCACTACCATCTATATAATTGTAAAAAATATCTGTAATGTCTATGTACCAATGAATTTGCTGATTTTAAGTTACTGTCTATCATGCATCATTTTACATATCATTTAGAGAGTTAACTGCATCAATTTAGTGCCCATCTATGGGAAAAAACTAAAAGCTTCAAATTAGTTAAAGAACTACTGAGTTGTACAAATTTGAACACAAACTTTTTAGTAGCACATTTACTTCCAAAAATTTCTATTACTGAAAAAAATAAATTCAAGTTTATTTGTTAGTACAATATGATCGAAAAAAAACGGCGTCTGCGATGGCTATGAAATGAAGATCGCTGTCCTTTTAGCCAACTGGACGCCGTTTTTTTTTCGATCATACGGTAGATGAACTGGAAGACCATTGAATCTCTCAAGCTTAATGAAGTTTATGAAAACGTTCAAATCAGTCTGAATGAATTTATGTAGATTTTTTATAATCTTAAGTATATTATTTGATGTTTTAACTAATCTTGCCTAAATTCAGAACCAATTTATAAACAAATGCTTTTCCAATTCAAAGTCATATTGTTTGTTTATGGAATGTGTATAGTGTATCTAATTATAATTGGTGAAAACATGTTATTCTAAAACATAACAAGAAAGTATTGTATAACTACAACATTTTGTTGAAATATTGAAAATGGACATGAATATAATACCTTGTTGAATTTATGTTATTTAAAACTTTTAGACCATTAGTATAATTCGCTCTGAAACTACCTAGATTTAATTAGTTGTTGAATGTTTTTTTTTTCATAATACAGTACCTAGTCATTTTTAGGTAATATTTAAGCATACCTATTATATGAGAGTATGTAGGACATCATATCAAAAGTTCTTTTTTATATCGGTTTATTACGTTTTTTACATATTGTGCATATTAGTTGAAAGTATCTGTATTAAACAAAATGCATTAGATGTTTTCTATATGTCTCTCACCCTGTAGAATCTATAAAAGCGCATTAAAAAACATCTAATGCTTACCAAACCAAAGCAAGATATCTTTAAAATAACCTTAGCCCTTATCTTTCAATATCGATATAATAATTTGTTAAAAATAATTTGTAAGGATTAAATTTAAGCCGCCACCATTAATTCTTCGTATGTTACTCATGTAATTTTATTGGTTTCTTTTTATATAAGATCTATTGTGATCTCATGCATTTTATATCATTCGTAATATAAATTTTATCGTAGGTTAGGAATTTTAATAAATAGCCATCGTACATGGAAAAGTTTGTTTTTATCAAGCACCTATTTCAAATGCCTAAAATAATTATTAATTGAATATCATTAGACTATTATATACCGTATGATCGAAAAAAACGGCGTCAGATGACTAGGAAATGACGATCGATAACAACATTTCCCATATAAAGGGTATAGCCGGATTATTATAGGAAATCTGCCCCGAAGCTTTTTTGACTCGCACTCAGGGGATCGATTTGGTGTTGAATCAAGATAATTTACCTAAATTTTTAGCTTTTTAACTCAAACGGTTTTCGAGATTTAAAAAAAACTGTTTTTTCAATTTTATTGAAAAATGAAATATGATCGTGATGAAAAAATAATATGATCGTGATGAAAAAATAATATGATCATGATTCTTAAACGAAAAGCCGATTTTTAGCGGAGGAAAGAAAATTAAAATGTTAATTTTTTAGCCTTTGTGAAATATGTCGCTCGCTAAAAATCGTCAGAAAATGTCTTTTATACTTCTTTATACTCAGGAATTTTTTAGAATTTTTTAAAGTGGTGGAAGAATTTAAAAAAAATTAAAAACTTTTTTTTATAAAATCTTCTCGGACTCATTTTTTTATAATAATATTTATGCCCATATAACACATAATATCCGCAGGATATTCATAGAATGTCGGAATGTCCCATAATAAGATCATCTTATAAAGACATCTAGGGTAGAAGCACCGGTTGTGGCCAGGTTAAGGGATTTTTAGAGTTTGACTTATCAGAAAAAATATTTGTAGTTAATTTTGGAGATAAAACAAAATTTTTGGTGCTTCTCCAAACATTTTTCTTTCAAAGTCTGCTTTTATTGTAAAGATCTGTATTCTTAATAAACGGAAAATAAGCATTTTATGAAAATATACGATTTTTCCCATTTGTGGCCACCAAACCAAACCAAATGTGGCCATATTTACCACCATTTGTGGCCACATTCTTGCAAAAATATTCTCTATATTGAATTTTGCAGATAACTAAGCAAACAATATTATATTTTATTTATTAATTTCTTTAAAAGACAAAAAGAGACATTTGGTAATTGTTTATATTTTTAATAAAAAAAACATGATGTTTAATCCTATAATTCTTAAGACAAATCAAGTGATACCTAATATCTTATTTTGTTTTTTGTCTATGTTATACAAATATTAAATAAAAATTAGGTACATATTAATACTAATTTAAGGAACAATAAACAAAGTACATTAATTTATCAGAATATTCTTGAATATTTGTTAGTTGATAGGTACCACATATACACTTCTTGAATTGACTTTTTTAGATTCATCAATTTTCATTGTTATATCACTCAGTTTGTACCAAAACAAGTCATTTTTACTTCCAATTGCCGCAGATTTGGACCATTTCGCAGCTGTAATATTCATTATTTCCAATTTGTAATATATTTCCTGGATTCAACTGATTCCCCTACTTTAAAATAATAAAATAAAAAAAAATAATTTCCTATATTTAATTCAGCAGATGCAACGCCAGCTAGCTTAAACAGAAGTTTAAGCTGGCGTTGCGTTGGTTTCTGTTTGTCATTTCTACCAGGAAGATCTTTTTATTTTCTATAAATTTTATTTCAGTTGTTTTCTTTTTTGTAAAGTTTTCATTGCCAGTTTCTGTTTTTTCTCCTTTCCCTTCATTAATTCAATCCACTTATCATAGGTAATGACTGATGGTAGATGTAGCCTCTTTCTTTTTAAAGATTAACATCTTCCCGGGCATCATCCTTAGGTTCACAATTATTTCTAGTCTTCTTTTCCTGCATGGTTTGGTCCTGAATCATCTTCCTCTGTATTCTCATAATTTTTATTTTCATTGCATTCGTTCATATTTATTCCATTTAGTTCTATATCTATATTATTTTCTATATTCATTTTCTCATCTGAAGGAAAACTTGATGACGGTATAGGTTCAGATTGGTAATCTTGGTCGATAATTATTGTATTTAGGATATTATTATATTTAGGTCCTATTATTCAGCATTTATTAAAAATATGAATAATAACAAATAAAATGAATACTAATAAAATATTTATTAAACAAAAACTTACTATGAAAAAGGTTATATTTCCTACAATTCCTTCTTTTTGTTCCTCAGATACTGGATAACCATATGTGTTATTAATTATCACTAGTATGCTTATCAATATAAAATTGTATCTCTCACATGCCATTTTATTAAATTTTACAAGCAAATAGTACGGAAATATCTTATAGATTAGTTACAGTCTGTGTATAATATTATTATGATAATTTTAACATATTATTAAACCTGATCATATACCCGGTATGAATAGAAAATAGTTCTATAGAATTTAAAATGTTTTTCCTGTTATTAAATAATTTAAATTTTAAATTTTTGTAATTGTTTTCTTAAAGTTCATTAAGAGTGCATAAGAAAAGGAATATATGTAGTATTGAATTATACATTATA